GAAGGAAAAAGAAGAAAGAAAGAGAGGAGAAAGAAGAAGAGAAGCTTACCTGGGCTGGGTGGAGGTTGAAGAAGAAAGAAACGTGAAATCACTGCAAGCCCTAATGTTTTAAGCCCTAATGTTTTAAGCCCTAATCTGCGCCTTTTTCGTTCTTTTTTTCAAAAAGCGACGCCACAGCTCGCCTCTCGCTACACAAGCAGAGGCGCTCGCCTTTTACAATCGCAACGCAACAGAGGCAAAATAGCGCAGGCTGCTCGCATCGCCTCGCCTCACGCTATTAGCGCTGAGGCGAGCGCTATTTATAACACTGCCACCGGGCACCTACTATCTCCCCAACACAAGCACCAGATAACTCTACCCGCCAAGGATTAGGCAGATAAAAAGAAATCACCTAATGTTTTATGTCTCTTTGAGATTGATTTTCACCCACTTTATCGACTGTTATACAACACCTTTCGGACTTATATATCTGAAAACTCTTTATTATTAACATTCTCATTTTGTCTAAATAACATGCTCTCATGAAATTGACATGGTATATTGAAGACAACTAGAATATAAGGGTGCTTTTTTTTACATAATATATATTTAACTTGTATGTCAGCAATCTCTTATTTTCTCAAGCTCCGTTTCCAATAAAAAAATGTCATATAAATTGGAACATTGGTAGCAATTCCGACTAATCAGAAAGTCATGCCCTGTGATGTGAAAGACAATGGGAAGCCCACAAATGCATCAAATGGTCTTGAAAAATAGGTTTTCGAATTTGACTTGTATTACCCACTGCTTGAAATAGCATATATACACATCCCTGACTTTCCGTTTTTCATTTCTTCACGGGTTGTAAGTTCAATGGAAACAGTACTTCACAGTTAATAATTACTTATTAAAACGTTCTACTCCTTCCTCCCAGCTTAGATGTCACATTTGTTTAGAGACAACTATTAAGGAGAAGTTAGTGATTTATTATACTTGCGGAAAGTGGATTCTGTGGAAATGAAGTTGTCTTTACAAAAAAAAATGCAATCAATTTTTCTTGAAATTGAACTGTTCTCGATGTAATTATGGAATACATCTATAAAATATTGCTAACATACAGGATCATCCGGGATAGTGGCTCCTCAAAAATGTCACTTAACCAATAACTGGAATTTAGCTAAAAAAGTTTTTGTGATTCTTAAAAAGAATGGAGAACAATGAAGATATTATCCGATCGCGGGTTCCACTCAGAAAATTCCGAGCATAAAAGGAAGCTGCTAAAATCACTTTGCAACTGTTAAAAGAAATCCAATAAACAGAACAGATGCTTTCTTTTAAAAATCACATAGACCTGTTACTCAGACTATTTGTTGAAGATTTGCTTTGTTGCAATTTTTTAGCATAATAAGTTAGCTTAGTTTTAGGATGAATCTACTTTTTTGAATTTAAATTTCTGTTAGATTTTTTAGGTTTGTTGAGATATTTCAGATTTTTTGAATTCTTGTTATGCAGATTTTTCTGCATATTATGCTCTCAAGTTGGCTATTTAAAGCCTTCTATGTTTAATAAAAAAGAGAGACAATTTCAATCAATATTTTTAATATTCTTGCTGCCCCATCCTTTACAAAACCAACACTAATGGATCATTTTAAGTGTGCTGGAGGAGGACAGTACCATAGTTGAAGCTCTGATTGGCAAAGGGTAAAGCCAGCAGATGCAGAACATCAGGCGGTTTGTTTCTGATAGTTTGTTGAAGCCATCAGTCACACGTTATAATTCCGTACAAGAGGAGGGGCGTCTAGAAAGATACTTCACCAAGACTTTGCAAAAGAGTAGTGGCTTCTTGCATAGAAGCTGCTACTCACATTTGCAGTTTCCCTTGGAACACCAATGTCACCATTGTACATCACTTAGCTTTTTAGGGTGCTCTTAAAACAATATAAGTGGCTCTAATTTTTTTTCATTTCGATATCACTAAACTTGAGAATATCCTGGCGTGGATTGCGGGAACAAAAGAACCACTTATTTTTGGTAAGTTGCTTTTCTATTTTGCTAAACTATATAACATGTCTAGTGTTCTGGATTATGCCTATCCAATAGTAGTGTCTTCTTATGTGTAACAAAGCTTTCATGCAAATTTTTAAAGCTTCAACCAAATTGACAAATTTGGATCAACTTTAGTGATACAGATGCAGAGATTTTCTTATAAATATTAGTTTTCTTGCCCCGCTTTTTAAGAATTAGAATGAATAGTTGGATATAAATACAGGGTGCCTGCAATAAAGGGACTAAAAGTCATTTTTCATCACTTGTGTAAGGTCAGAATCAGCCTTTACCTATACGTGAGGCTTCCAGAAAGTTCTTTTCCTGCATCAATGAATAGCTGTAATGCCTTGATGACATCCTCTGTAGAATACCATAGGTGAGGCTTTGGTAGACTGGAGCTCTTTTCAAAGAAAAGGAACCGTCTGTTCAACTGGAACCCTGCAAGTTTTTGCATCCGATTCTGACTGGAACTATCAGTCCCCGAGATATCAGTTCCCGTCTTCCCTGAGGGGTCCCAGTCAGGGAATTCCACAATGTAGTCTTTGTTGTGATCCTACAACATTGCACAAGGTAAGGGGCCAGGGTGAGGAAAGAAACAAATGCCATTGACAAATCATGAAAGCTGGGATGTAAACATTTAGTGCTTCCAAAGAATTTTCTTTCAGATCATGGCTTTAATATATGATTTCTCTTTTCTCTTACGATTATGAAAGATATGCATTTTCTGTTGAAGAAAGAAATTAAGTCTGGACGTTCGTATAATGTTCACTAATAAGATGCTGAGAGATAAAATGAGCAGCTAATTGCATCATAGTTTTAGCTAGAAGCATATTGCCTAGTTATCAGTTCAACCAAAACATACACATGATCTAAACTGATGACTCCATAACAGCAATAATCTAGCATATATGGTATAATACCTTAGAAGCTCCAGAATATTATAAGTCCTGATATACAAAGACATGGTTATACCATTCTCCTTGGTATCACAAGATGCAGAATTAAATGCTTAAGCACTGACAGTTATGAAGAACTTACAGCTATTCCATCAGTGCAGTTGTAAATTGTATGATAAAGGATGTCCCAAGCAGCTTGAATTTGATCGTTCACTTTACCATAACGTCTGTGAGAATAGGATTTCAACCATCCCTATGCAGCAAAAGAAATAAATTCTGATGTGAGGACCGGCATTAAGAAATTTTCGCTTTAAAATGTTCCAATAAAAAGCCAAAAATATGAAGCATTAAAAAAGAGTTTTAGGAGATTAAACATAGGCGAGGCCAGCGAATATGAGTTTAAGTGACAAATCCACTGCTGCAGGCGTTTTTTAGAAGTTTTATTCAGACAATGTCCCTGTTTGCCTTTTTAATCACTAGTATAAATATCATTTACTTTATCAAGGAGAAAAGAAGACAAATAGGCCGCTCCAATGGCAAGAGCACAACGTCCACCAAAGAGAGTTTGAAGTTCGAGTCAGAAAGGGAACAAAGTGAAAGGGCCACTGTTGACTCCTGGGCAGGGGGTTTAGGCCTTACGGGATAAGGTTTAAGTGACACAAACTTAATGCATGCTATTCAGGGTAGGGTTTACCATATTGAAATAAATTTAATAAGATAAGAAATGGCAAGACGCATTAAATACACACCGGTCAGCACAACTCAGGCTGCCTTTTGAAGTTGACACCAAAGATAATAAACAATATCATAGGCACAGATATAACATTAAAGATAATTAAGCCTAATTCCTATTTCTGCATTCATATAGAAAAAGGAATATAGCGACATGAGCCTTTGACAAAAAACGGATATGAACACAACAGAGAGTCCAATCTGTTCAAACTTCATCCTCAAGACACCGCTACTGCTTGTTTGGTGTAGCAAATAGTTTGTTAGCTCGAATATTTTTCCTAATATCAAAGTTAATCTCTACCTGTCTACCATTAAGATTGAAAATCATCTTTGGTCAAATCAACATATTTTACAAGGTTTGAAATATTTTGTAGTTAGTTAGTTACAAAAGATTGCAGGAGAAATTTATAAAAAAGCAAAAGAGCACAGCAAAGAAAAAGAAACAAAGAGTTCTTGACTGAAAGTTAATTCATTTCTATTTTTTTTAAGAAGAAAGTTAATTCACTTCTATAGGTTTTACACTTTTGTGTTCTAAAGTAAAAGTTTATCCTTTTGCAACAAACTTGTTGTATAACGAGCTTAGAAGGGATATGGTTAAAATAGAGAGGAGATTGAATTGAAAAGGCCCTTACAATAAAATGAACAAAAAATATCCTGTGGTGATAATTATCATGAATCCTAACGACTTCTAATTGACAATAGGTTTGTTACCTGAAGTTGAAAATTATCCTCTCTAAATGCCATTTCGGACATCAGCTCATAGACTACCGGATTGTGTTCTATTCCTTCCATGCACATACCAACACCAACCTGCCGTAGAGCACCGAGCAAGAAAAGTAATTAGTAACGGACATTTGACAACTTAAGGAAATGGATTAAAAAAACTCAATTACATCACAATAGCATAAGAGGGATTTAAAATCATTAATAGTTTAAAACTCTGAATAATAACTTCAGAAAGAAAAAAGAAAAAAAGTTTTATGAAATGATAGAAATTTTACCATTGTTGAGTTCTCACTAGTACGGGCATCAATAGGACCAGAAGCCACTGCATCTAACACTCCATACATTTCAATATTGCCTCCAAAGTTGTGCAGCATACACCTTTTATATTTTGTTACAGTAACATTAGGGATAAAAATTAGTTGACATTCAAGCTTCAATAACAAGTGAAAATAACATTTCCAGAAACCAAACTATATACAGTTTTTTCCACATAGAATCCTCTGATTACCATATATAAGGAGTGCCGTAGAATTGAGAGGATGATTTCCATATTGGTTTGACATCAGCAAATAGATCAAGAACTATCATCTTCCCGCGTGGAACAGAATGTAGAAGTGCCTGTTCAGAAGCAAAAAAGTTAAAATTATGCAAGAATAATCTATGTTAATTATAATGGGAAAAATAGGGGTGCAATGTTTCATTTTGTCGTTTTTGTTAATAAAGGGTGACTTTACAAATATGGCACAAATGAGGAGATCATTTTGTCCTCAAAACTGAGTATTTTATAGCATCAGAAGAATCAGTGCCTTCCAGTCACGTAGGTAACGTGAGCAATAAATTTCTTCTGAATAGGTAAGTAGTACCACATAAATGACAGAAAACCTGTCAATCCCTTAGATGTTCAGAAAGTGTCATTTAGTACTATCTGAGTGCGCTGTATCAGTGAACAAGAAAAGCTCCCCATGGTATCCATTTTTGTAATGACCGACATCAAGAGTACGATGCTATAACATACCTTTTCTTTGATAAGTGATACTATCACATAACTAAAAAGGAGATAAAGAAATGTAAGAACCTCACACTCACATATACTTCAAATCATAGACATTCTATTTCTAATTTTCTCCTGATACATCTCACTCGGTGTTTCAGTGGATATATGCATATAACCAGTGGCAGAATCAGAAGCGCAGATGGAATTGCGCGTGGGCCAGTGAAATAGCATGAAGCATTTAGTAACACCTTTCTGAGTTGTAAGTTGTGAAAAAAATAAGAGGAGAAGAAATATAATGATAGTATCATAACTTGAGGAAAACAAGACACCTATATATATAGGTGTCAAACACTGTCCTAAATTGGACGATATGCAACTTAAAATAATCTGACATTCTAACACTAACACTTAAATTCTAACAAGCACCCTCAAACTGAAATGTGGGGAAATCAACTTGACTTCGTTTATTTTGTTAACACAGAAAATTAAATAACCACATAATAGTATTGCCAGGACAACTATCAGAAAATTTGCCAGAAAGTCGTCGTAAAAGTTGTGGTCGAAGGGCCCCCAGGGCCTAGCTCAAGTGGCAAAGGGTGGTGGATTTGTGTCTTAGGTCACAGGTTCAAGCCCTCACACCATGCAAAGCAAAGCCTGGTATTTAAGTGGAGAAGGGTAGAGGGGCAGGCCCATTATCCACCGAGTTTCGAAGGCTGCGGTTGGTCCAAAGGATCGGCCCCAGACGGATTTCTCGGTCATCAAAAAAAAAAGTTGTGGTCGAAGGAATCTCGATGGAAAAGTTTTGATTGCCAAAAACTCGACGAGAAGTACATAAGAAAGTGACTGGGGTAGTAGGCGCAAAAGGCAGTGTCACCTCAACGGCAACCAAAGAAAGAGGCATTGGCTTAGTCTCACTATTTTCAAATTTTTCCGGCAATCTTTCGGCCAACTTCTGTTTATCAGCAACCACCTGGTTTTGTTGCTTAGGGGGAGTCCATGGCCTTGTATGACGAATGATCAGCTTGCATATATTTTCACCAAGTCCCTCACTGGTCCTCTTATTAGTTACATATGTAACAAGCTCAGTACATATGATTTGTATGCACCGGCTTGAGGGGGAGTGTTAGATAGTTATGTGTAAATAGTCTTAATCCCATATGTAGTAGGAGTAGAATATGTCCTAGTCCAATATGTAGTAGGAGTAGAATATGTCCTAATCCCATATGTAGTAGGAGTAGAAGATGTATTATATATACGGCTCATTGTATCATTGTTAATAATAGATTTTTCTCCCGTGCATTCTCATAGGTGCCACCAGAATGATAATTAAAATATGCACTGTCACCGGAAAGGGAGCAGTGCGCTGAAACAATCATCAGATAACCACAAAAGAATTACCAGAGAAGAGGCACAGTGCCACTAAAGCAGTCACAGAAAATAGGTGTGGTGACCCCAAAATGATCGCCAGAGTGATCACCAGAAATAGGAGTAGTGCCTCCAGAACAATAGCCAGAAACAAATAAGAATAGGTAAACTATGAAAAGAGTGTTATAAGATTATGAAAAGAAAGAAAAACTTTGCCCCTGCAGAAACATAAGATTGCCATCCACTAAGCACAAGGACAGAAGCTACTTGGGTCTCAACTAAAACTGCAGAGACTGATACCATGTGAGAAAATAAGAGAAGAGAGAAATGTATTGATGACTGGATAATTTGAAGACAAGACAAACCTATTAATAAGTATCAAATCAAATACATATGATATTATCAAATGTCAGACAATATATAACTTAAGAATTTATGATAAAAAAAATAACTTAAGAATTTAATATTGTAACATTCTAACAATAACACTCGACATTGTAACTCAACTCACAAAAAATTATGAAGCAATAAATGGATATACTAACTGAAAGTACAAAATGACATGGCGGTCTGACCGTATCATAAAAGGAAATAAGATTAATTTCTCTACAGAACTGTACCTCCATCTGCGGTGACTTCCAGTATTTGGAATCAGAGTAAAATAGCCAACCCTGCATATTGCCAATAAAATAGAAGTTCGTCATGACTTCATGCAGCAATCCAGAAACACAAAGCTAACTTTTAATGTAGACTAGAGAAAAGAGATCAAACGCAAGAAAATTTCATCTCAAGGCAAATATTTATACAAAAGTCAATACCAGGTGAATAGATTCATTGACAAATGAACTCTCATTCACCACAAGATTCAGGCCTAACGATATAATAATCCATCTGCAGTTTGCTAAAAACTAACGAAAGAAAATCTCCTGTTATTGATTCAACTTTCACTTCAAGCTACTTGGATCCAGGATTCACATGCATAATGATATTTTGTAGAAGTAACAACACAATGAACCAGTAAACTCCTGAGATCAAACTTAAACTCGGGACAATTTGAGCTAAAATGTTAAAAGTATGAGAAACCAGCTAGCTTCAAAGCCTTCCAACAAAACAAAATTTTTCCGTAAAAATGATCCCATCTAAGCACTAACTTGATTAATAATACAGTCCCAGCAGTCAATGGCACTCTGTTTCCTGATAAGGTAAATACAGTCAATGGCACTTAAATCCAGAAATTCCTTGAGAAAATTCATGAAATAAACCATAAAAATGTACTGTCTCAAATTGGTTAAAATAGCAAGGATTCACACCTTGTAAATATAAAAAGTATCTTGATCCCTATAACTACATAAGTAGGAGATTTCTAGGGATGTAATTAGGTGTTTTTCCTTTTTTTTTTTTTTTTTTTTCCC